ATGAAGAAATCTTCGCTCCTATGGCTCGATTAGAAGCCATAAGGATGCTCATTGCCTATGCTAATAATAATAAATTTAAGTTATTTCAAATGGATGTTAAAAGAGCTTTTCTTAATGGCTTTATTTCCAAAATAGTTTATGTTGAACAACCTTCCGGATTTAAAAAGAAGTTTATGTTGAACAACCTCCCGGATTTGAAGCAAAATCATGTTCGAATGCATGAAAGTGTTCAATTTTATTTTTTTGATTGTAACATGATTTAGTATTTCTCTTCCGGACTTAATGTAGCTTTCATAAGCATATGTCATATCGAGTTTGTTTCATATCATTGATTTTTGATATATAGAATCAATTAACAAATGTATCTCTCATAGACTTATCGTGTGAAAAATATTTTTTTTCGGGAAATGGACTTGATGAAATGATTCCTTTTTATGAATTCCTTCTTGAAAAAGGAAGATCATTTTTTAACATTTGCAAGGATTTGATTCACATACATATCTTGATCCTTGCAAAAATGAAGTGTGATTTAATCTCTTATCGATTTTAACTTCATTCAAGTAAGCTTACAAATGGTTTTCCTCCTTCGTGCAAAAAGATAATGACAAATAAAAAGAAAGAACTAATGTAAGCTATCTCCATATCATGTTTTCCTTGAGATGTTTATATAATTGGTATCCTATCACTCATTATTGAAAAATGACATTAATCATTACCGCACTTATGCTTAAAGTTTGCTTAAATAGTTATCTTTTTTGTTGATGACAAAGGGGGAGAATTACATGATAAATTGATAATAGAATTGCCATATTTGAATTATGTTAAGATATCAAAAGTTTACATCGAAATATATGATAAATTGGTGATAGAATTGCTATGATTACCATATTTGCACTATGCCATATTTGCACTATGTTATTGCCATATTTGCACTATGTTAAGATATCTATAGCTTAAATCATAATTCTACAAATTGATATATTATCATGTAATGAAATGCTATGATTGCTAAACACTTGAAATGTTTGTATTCTGTTAAGATATCAAGAACTTACATCACAGTTTTACATGTTGATATTTTACCATATGATGAATTACTACGATTACTATCTTTCACATTTGAAATGTAAAACTTGAAAATGGATGTCAAGCCTTGACATCATTTTCAGAGAGATACATCATGATAGGAATCATAATGGGAGCATTGATAAGGTTAAACGATCTTAACTTATCAATATGTCTCTTGAATTCAAAGGCTTTGAATTCAAGAATGACTTATCTCAAGTATTGCATATAGATAGGGGGAGTTAAGGTTAACTCTGTTATCAATTGATTGTCATTATCAAAAAGGAAAGATTGTTGAATCTTGGATTTTGATGATGAAGTCAATTGTCATTTGTTATCTAATCCATATGTTGATATAAGTGTGCAGGATTAACTATGATGGAAGTAAGACATGCAGTAGGAGTTACGCCGGAGTCTAGACCATGATCACGTTGGGGGTTCGAGAGTTCGATGGAAGTCCGGATGGTCGTCGAATGTTCTGTGGGAACAAATCCGAGAAGTTCAGGAGCTTGCCAAAGAAGCTTGTCAAAACTCGCCAAGTGGATCATTGCAAGTCTAGGAGTTTGCCGGAAGTCTACCGGAGCATCGCCGATGGTTCGTCGGATGTTCGCCGAAAGCTCGCCGGAAGAAGCGATTGACGCACCGGAGCAAGTTGCAGTATTAATGTCTTAAATATCGTAGTTAGCATGTAGATTAAGTTAGGAATGAGAGGTGATCCCATTAACTTAATTTGGGGGCAATTGGGCCTTTGGCAAACCCAAATTGGGCCAAATGGATCAGCCCATTCGGACTCAGATTTCTTGGCCGACGGTGGCACCGCCCAGGAGACTTGGTCTCCCAAGAATTCTGGGCAGTTGTACTACCCCTGTCAGGCGGTGGTACCGCCTGAGCTCGATCTCCGAGCGGTAGTACTGCTAGGACCCCGGAAATCCACGAGATAACATATTTGAGCTCCAAATTCAAACCGGTTTGGGGCCTATATAAACCCCACCATTTCCTGCATGAAAGGGCACCAAAATCTTGATCTTATTGTAAGAATTTTAGAGCTCAAAAGTGTTGTAAATGTCAAAAGTTCTTCTCCCTCTTTTCGTCTAAGTTTTGATTATTCAAGAGAGGAGTGAAAAATTTGTAAGGGTTATCTCCTAAGCCCGTCAAAAGGAGTAAAGCTGTAAAAGGGTGATTGATGGGAGAAAAATAGTACATACTTTATTCAGTAAGGCAGAGTAGTCCACGGGGATGTTGGTCTCCAAAACTTATAGAGGGAAGGATGTGAAGAAAACATTTGCTCCAATAGAATAGATATCTAAGAGGGATAAGTCTTGATTCTCCAATAGGAGAATCATATACAACAGACCGCACATATTTAGAAGGGGTACCTCGAGATAATATTTCCACAAAGCTCAATGAGCCGAGTGAGTAACAAGGAGTCATCAAATAATCTAGCACAAAGTAATGCGTTAGTTGATGTATTACAAGATCAAGTGGGGAAGCAACCTAAGATAATACGAAACAAAAGTACACTTGGAGTTGATATAGAGAACATACTTAACGGAGGGCTGACTTATGAAATGATTGGCATGAAGGCTACCATCAACTCAATGTAAGCCGAAAAGCAGAGCAACTTAGGTGGAACTTGGTGAAGTACCCAGGCCACAGAAAGAGAGTAGAATAGAAGATTGAATATCGAGTGGAGGTGTGAAGCTTACCTTAAATTGAGGTCAAAGACATAAACTTTTGTAGAGGTAAGAGAGAGATAATGTCATTTTATGGGTCTCTTTATTTTAATAGAGTGGAGTCATCTTGCATATACCAAAGTCAAAGGGAGCTTCGAGGCACATGCATCTTATCTCGACGAAGCATATGATAGAGGAACTAAGACGACTATACTTGTGATGGCGAAGTTGGGGTCAGAATGCTTTAGTGCAAGGCAAGAGGATATATAGATAGATTCTCTTAAAGAATATGTTGTAGTGCTGTCATTCGAGTTACTACGAAAGAAGCAATACGTAGCGAAGATTGTGTTGAGGGGTAAAGGCCCAAGATCCAAATAATAATGTAGAATTTTCAACAAATTTAGTGGATTTCAAGAGTTGCCAGACGGTGAACTATCCTAAAGCTGTGCTTTGTTTGAGAGTGACTCGAGAGTAAGTGGATTTATGTTGATTGTCAAAAGAGCGAATACAGTCGGAGGTGATAGAGGTCTTGTGATATGCTAGTAGAGGCCACACATGAAGATGTCATATTTTAAGTTCATCCCATAAAGATTAGAATACAATGAAGATATCACTAGGCAACATAATACAGTCGATTATAGTTGAATAGTTTGAGGCAATATAACACACATGAGAGAAGTCCCGTGAGGGACTTAATCATACAGAGGTATGATCGAGAGCTACTAGAGCTCTATTTTGATGAACAATATGATGAAAATAAGTATTATAGATTAAAGGAGTGAATGTCATGGTACCACAAAGGAGAGTCATCTATGCATGTATTAAATTTTACATCGGATGAATGTCTTGATCATTAGCATATGAGAGTTATATACAACCTAGGAAGAATTTTAAGTGCAAGTAACAATAAGTCTTATAAAGGAGGGGCTTAATCAGAGATATGACCATCTTATATTCTTATAAGGATTTCTATTCACGACATCTTACATTCTTTGTTATGAAACTGTTCGAACCTTATGAAGTCTATGTTTGTAATTTGTATTACCTATCATGTATTTGTTAAAATGACTATTTGTAAAATTTTAGAATAAATATTTTTTTAACTTGTCTTTTCTTTTACATGTTCTTAAGTGATCATGAAATGTCAAGATTTGTATCCATAAAATATTTTTTTAATCTTGATTATAAAAATAATATATATATATTTTTTCTGATGTCCAACATATCTAAGTCGAAAAACCTCACGCTTATAACCAACTTGTATTTTTGGATAAGTAATTAAACTTATCAATTCGATGAGTTAATTATTCCATTAAATCCGATCATTACATGAGCCCATAATTTATCCCCTTAGGTTTATGTTGTTAGGTTTTACATTTCCATCGACGAACTATATAACCATTGTGGTCGTGACAATGAAAGACCTGATTTGACATTAGTCATGATGGTGCTATGAATCTACAAAGTCCAATGCTAAGGCTTGCTCGAGACTTATATCTTCATCATTACAACTTTAATTTAGCTCTAAGAAACCTCTGCACTTAAGCAAAGTGTGGTTATAAGCAACCACCCTCATAATCATTCATGTATAGCAACATTTAATAATTTATTTATGTAAATATTTAAAAAATATAATATATTGTATAATTTGAATCCAATATAAGATTTGATTCTTGTGAGAAAATATTATTGACATCCTCATAAAATTAAACATCGAGTTATAAAATATTATATGTACAAAGATCGAAGTTGAAAAAAAAATTTGACTTAATTTTTTTAATATTCAAATTAGTATCTCGAGATATATAAGTTATAAAAAGTAATCTCTAAATAAATAAAATATTTTATGAAGAGATAATCTTTAATTAAAATATTCAGATGTCAAAAAAGAAAGTAAGTTTTATCATTGAGATTGATTCGGCTATCACATCGATACTCACGCAAAGATTCATCCTAATACTTTTCCGATCACTTATTTTCTTTTTTCTGAATTTGTTTCGGATCAAACTAAGGGGTATTTGGATCCGATTTAACGAATCCGATCCGCTGTCTATTTTAAGCGCATCATAGGTCGTCGGTGTGGTGCTGCAGGAGAGAGCGATCCGCGTGGTCCTCGTAAATGAGATCTCGACCGTCCGAGCAACCCCAATCCGACGATCCACGAGAACTCCCGCTTCGATAACACACCCAAATCCCCCAATATCTTTTCGAATTCCACGTTTCCCCGCCTTGATCACCCCTTCAAATACGCGCCCTTCCGTCGCCCATTACCCCATCGTCTCATCTCGATCCGCCTACGGTTCTCCGCGACCAAGTGTTGTTAGCCTCCTCCTCCCGATTCGACGATGGCGCGGACGAAGCAGACGGCCCGGAAGTCCACCGGTGGAAAGGCCCCGCGGAAGCAGCTGGCGACGAAGGCGGCGCGGAAGTCGGCCCCGGCGACGGGCGGCGTGAAGAAGCCACACCGTTTCCGTCCCGGGACGGTGGCGCTGAGGGAGATCCGCAAGTACCAGAAGAGCACGGAGCTGCTCATCCGGAAGCTGCCCTTCCAGCGCCTGGTCCGCGAGATCGCCCAGGACTTCAAGACCGACCTCCGCTTCCAGAGCTCGGCGGTGGCGGCGCTCCAGGAGGCGGCCGAGGCCTACCTCGTCGGCCTCTTCGAGGACACCAACCTCTGCGCCATCCACGCCAAGCGGGTCACCATCATGCCCAAGGATATCCAGCTTGCTCGCCGGATCCGAGGCGAGCGGGCTTAAGCGCTTCTCTCTTCTTTTCCTCCATCCGTTTGTTTCACTAGTAGCGATGATGGGATGGGGAAAGGAAAGCTGTAGTATGTCGACCACGTCAGTTTATGTTTCCTATTGTAAGTTTGTAGTCGTTAGTTCTAACATTGTCGCATGATCAATATATGAAGTTGAGGTTTAGTAGCACAACTTGGTTGCTTTGCTCATTGTAGATCAATATATTGCTTTGCTTGTTCTGTGAAAGCAGAAACCAAAAAGGAAAACAGGTCCACCAGCAAATACAGAATAATATTGACTGTGTAATATACTAATGCACATACATAATCGCGTAATATTGATCCAATCTGAACCAACACCATTTTAGTCAAACAGAATGCACATACAGTAAATTCTATTTTTTATACATGCATAATGGCACAAGAAGAAGATGCTTAATTTTAATTAAATGCAGTGGATGGATGTCATGCGTTGATCATCCATATCATATAAATTAAATTACTACTAATTTAATTTTGATATGAAATCCATATTATCTGAAGTCTCCTTGTGTGCCATAGATGAGATTATCAGTTGATCACTCAGATCATATCAATTCTCAAGTATCACTAATGATCATCAGCTTCACTATGAGGCAATGGTACAGAAGAGGGAGAAGAACTCTACCCAGAATTAAAACAGTAAAGTGACTTCAACCTTATTTATGATTGCTGCTTTCTTCGGTAAAATTGCAATTTCTTGAAGCAATCTTATTCATACAACACACAAATCAGCTTAATAACATTCTTCCTTTCCAACATAAAAAGGAAGACTATGCTGATTATGGTATTGACATGTTATACTAATAACTCGGTCATAATTCAAGGTTTTAAGATGAAACTAAACCAGAAGGAAAATAACCAATAAATAGGATAGAAATCGGTCTATGGAGTAACATCAAAGGACAAAAGTCCTGTAGAATTTTCCTTCTTGTTCTCTCTCTCTCTCTCTCTCTCTCTCTCTCTGTTTATTAACACCTTTATATTGACATGATGATATTTCACCTATACTTCAATCCTTGCTTAAAACCATGGAGCAACCCTTCAAAATTCTATGATTATTAGAACACTCAAGAAGAAGAGGGAAATGATTTTGTTACATTGAGAAAGGTTCAACTTTATAAAACATAAATAGACAAATTCCTACAAAGGGAACCACTTCAAATGAATATGCATGAACATACAACAAAATAAGTACATCACATAGATGAAAGTGGCAGATCTACAGTCATTCAGTTGTTATTACAACAAAATAAAGATAATCTCATGACGCCAGGAACAAAGAAATACATGTGCTATCAGTTCTATTGCTCGATGAATAAGAATCCAATGCAATTGTCAGCATAAACCATTAGAAAAGGAGCCTGAAGAACTCCTATCAATATAATTTGAAGAAAAAACGATCAGGTGCATTACCTATATTGATGGTTGGCAAGGAGGGAGACCTACTTGGATGCTTGGCACATTAGTTCTACCGCTCGATAAGAAGTCAATCGATTAGTCACTATAAATATAAAATAGGAGACTCACTCCTATCTACATAATTTTAAGAAAAATGTGGGTCGGTTTTATGCCCCAAGTCCATTTTCGCAACTTTGAGGCCAATAACAATGTGTCCTCTGAGCATACTAGGATGACAATACTTGAATGGCAACATATAATCATGATCTAAGGCATTTGCATAAACGACGATCAAATTGTAACAGATGGTCACTATCCCACATTTCAATTCAAAAGGCATTAATTTCGAATTATACAAGAAAGGTTGCAGTCATACCTCCATTTCATCATGGTTTCTCGTCGAAGAGCACTTTGTAAAACCTTATCCTCTCTTCCCTCTTCTCAACAGTGTCCAGTCTCGAAGCTTCCTCTTCATTTTCATCATCTTCTTCCTTCTTCGGTGTCAAGTCAATCTCACCTCTCTTCCTCTTCTTCCCTAAGTTTGCTAGATGCCGTCTCCGATTGTACTCGTGAAGCCCCTCCTGCATCAATTCCCCAAGCTTATCCTTCACCACCACCAACGGGTCCTTATCGATGAGCTCCGACCCATTGTATGCTTCCCTGAGGACCACCGTATAAATCTTATACCTGTTCGACACATAGAAGATGCACGGATGCCTCAGCAACAATAGGTTCAGCCTCACCGGCAATCCAAACTCCCTCTTAAAGTGCTCCAGCTTTAGGATCGATGCTTTCTTCCACAGCGACAGCGAAAGGATCTCATGGACGACCCCCACCGCCCGCTTTTCTGACTCCGTCCGGTCCTCCGAGTACGGCGAGACGTACGGCGTGGCGTCGTTGAACTCGTCGAACTTCTCCCGGGTCTTGAACCAGGTCTCCGGCAACGAGCATACGTACCGCGGCTCAGTTCCGCGATCGATGGCCGCGGCCTCGACGGCGGAGATCGCGAGATTGGGATCCCACCGGAGGAGCTCGATCTCCATCGCGTTCTGCCGCCCAGTGCGGTTGATTACCCTGAAGATCTCCGGATGCTTGGGAATGAGGCGCAGGACGTAGTCGTCGGGGAAGCCGAAGTTGCGCTTAAGCTCGTTGAGCTTGACGACGTTGAGGCGGCGGTCTCGGGAGAGCATGAGGAGCTTAGCGAGCCGCCGGGCCATGGCGGGCTCGGAGGCCTCCTTGACGCTCTCCTCCTCGTCGACGAGCGCGGCCATGCGCTTGGAGAAGGTGAAGCGAAGCTCCTCACCGCCGCCGCCGTCGGGGCCAGCCGGGCCGGATAAGGTGTCGAAGCAGCAGGGGTACTTTCGGAGCCAGTTGAGGGCGCGGCCTTGGAGGTCAAAGGTCTTGAAACGCTTCTGGAGGGAGCGAACGGTGGCGGTGCGGCCGGGGGAGCGGAGGAGGAGGTTCTTGATCTGGTTGTTGACGATCCAGCGGCGGTTGCGGGAGAGCGCCGGCTCCAGCAAGGCGTCCTTCTTCATCGACCATAGGCGGCGGCGGAGGAGGAGGAGTATCTCCGGGACGCGATCGGGACCGGCGACGCCGGGGGGGTTCGGGATGAGGCTGTGAAGGACGGCGACCCGCGTGGTCGCCATGGCCACGCTTCGCCCGGAGCTCAAACCCTTATCACAAACAGGCCCAGTCCAAAAACGACCGAGCTACTTAGAAACAAACAGAAGCCCAATAAGCCCACATTCCCACAGAAACATACGCCCACACCACCAACCCATCGTACGAGTGTCAGTAGATGTCTTCTTCTTGATCTCGAAATCAATGTTTTGAAACCCCCAACCGACAAGTGGATTAATCGGATCCGTTACATTGAAAGACTATGGCACATGCCATAAGGTCTCACGAGATCATGTTGGACCATAAATGATCACACATGCAGATCAATTCGCACGACATAGTGGACCTCTCTAGTATTCTTTTAAGCATGTCATGGTGGCTTTTGAGACATACCCAAATGGCTGGTTTTGCCCAGCCAAGTTGAACATTCCGTTTCCTATGGCTTTGTAACATCTGGTTGTGGCTACTGCCGCCGGTGCCACATCAACATCAACCCAATCAAAGCCAATAAGCTAATGCATGGTTGGTTGAACTTTATCTTCCTTCCATGTTTCGGGACTGCATTCTCCATAGATTGTGTCCCAAGTCGTGAAATTTCCAGGAGAGAAGTTGAAGTCGGATTAGGCGATTTAATTAGGAGTTCGTTGGGGAAGTTAATATCGGAAAACAACTTCCAAATGGGCATTTATGATTCGATTTATATTGACCATTCATTATATGTATTATTTATAATTTTACGTGTTCACATACGGTGGTATCCTCACGTAAATAAATATATTCTCATATTGTAATAATCCGCCTCGAATGCCTCATCCGACGTCAGCGTGATGGAATCCCTACGTGCGCGACGCCAACCTCCGCGATGCCGACCCACCGCTCTGATGCGTCCCAGGCATCAAGACCGTCCGTCCCCGACCGACGCTCAATCGGACGGTCGATGGCGAAAGGGTCTAATGATACATTTTAATCTTTTAATTAGCCTCTCTCTCGCGGATATATCCCCCACGTAATCTCCACGTGTTTGCGGATTATCCGCCTCACCGACGTCCCTTGAAAGAGGGAGAAGAATAGCTCTCCGCCGTGACGTGGACGAGTCATTCACCGCTCGTTCCGCCGAGCCCACACCCTTATGTGGGGCCAACTGATTCGTGGGTTCGTCCGCGGACCCATTCTTGAGTTCCCAAGGTAGGCTTGAATTCTGTAAAAGACCGTAAAGGAAGGGGTAGTTTCGTCAAAGCATTGCGGAGATGATGTGCGTCAGCTCCACGTGGCACGGGAGAGTCTCCAAATCTGCGGTTACAGTAACCGCCTCTTGCCTCTTCGTCTCTTCGCTTTACCATTAGGAAAATAGGAGGTGGTTAAAGAGTTATCAACGAAGGAATAATTTCGTGGTCCCCCTGGCGGGGAAGAGAGGAGTCCCTTTCCCATGACGATAAAGGAGGACCACTAGGGTTTCGGGGGCATCCGCCATTCGCGACCTCCTCCGTCGATCGGATTCGCTCCTCCCCCTCTCCCTCCAATATCTGTCACTCTGGCTTTGATCGAATCCTGATGCATATGGTCTTGGTGTGGGGGGACTTGGAGGCGTGACGATGCCCACCGCGGACTTCCAGGGCTCGTCGGCCCCCTTCGCGTCCACCGGCCGCTCCTTCCTGAGCCTGCGGCGGGACCACGCCGCCGACCCGATGGACGCACATCATCGCCACCACATCGATGCCGGCGAGCAGAGGGAGCTCGACGCCTTCCAGCACCAGGTCGCTGATCTCTTCCACGACCTCGCTGGCGGCGGCGACGAGATCCTATCCATATCCTGGGTCCGGCGCCTCCTGGACACCTTCCTCGTCTGCCAGGAGGAGTTCCGGGTGATCCTCTTCGGCCACCGCCGGCCCCCGGCCCTGATGGACCGCCTCGTGTCCGACTTCTTCGAGCGCGCCGTGAAGGCGCTCGACGTCTGCAACGCCGTGCGCGATGGCGTCGATCAGTTGCGGCAGTGGCGGAAGCACCTCGAGATCGTGATCGTGGCCCTCGGCCCGCACCACCGGGAACTAGGAGAGGGGCAGCTCCGCCGGGCCAAGAAGGCGCTCGGCGACCTCGCCATCCTCATGCTCGACGAGAAGGACTCGGGCTCCGTCCTCTCCCAGCGCAACCGTTCTTTCGGCCGCCATAGCGGCTCCTCTTCCTCGTCGAGCGGGGGCCGACGCTCGCACTTCCGCTCCCTCTCCTGGAGCGTCTCCCGGTCCTGGTCCGCGTCACGGCAGCTTCAAGCCATCGGGAACAATATAGCCGCACCTCGTGGCCACGAGGTCGTGGAGACGGCCGGGCTCGCGGTGCCTGTGTTCACGATGAATTTAGTGCTCCTCTTCGTGATGTGGGCCCTCGTGGCGGCGATCCCCTGTCAGGATCGCGGCCTCCAGATCCACTTCTCCGTCCCGCGGAGCTACCTCTGGGCCACCTCGATCACGTCTCTCCACGAGAGGATCGTGGAGGAGTCCAAGAAGAAGGACAGGAAGAACTCGATTGGGCTGTTGAAGGAGATCCACCAGATCGACAAGTGCGTCCACCACTTGATTGACCTGATAGATGCCGTTCAGCTCCCGATGGCGGAGGAGAAGGAGATGGAGGTGAGGCAGGGGGTGCAGGAGCTGGCCCAAGTCTGCGAGGCCATGAAGGAGGGTCTTGATCCATTGGAGCGTCTGGTCAGGGAAGTCTTCCTTCGGATCATACGAAGCCGCACAGAGGGGTTGGATTGCTTAAATGGTGTCGAATGACATCATCGTATCGAGGTTTCCTTGTAATGAAACTAAGTGTACAACATTGATGGTATATTATATAACCTTTCTCAAGTTGGCTTTTCTGGGCTGCATGTGTTCACAGGCCAGAGACAGAAGAGCCTGCTAATGAAAAGAACCAAGAGATGGATGAAATGTTCTCTTCCACGAGTAAGTATAGCAGGTAATGCTCTTGTATTTACCGTATTGCATTCTGTATAAAGAAAGGTTTGGGTTGTTGAATTTTGTGATTCTGATGTTATGTTTTTGCGTCTTTGGTGTACATGTTTTGGGCTATTCAAATCTACTTGGCTATTCAAGCATTCACTGACTTAGTCTCTGATGCGTAAAATATTTTTAGTTTAATTATATGTTGGATGGATTTATTTTTTGGATGTTTGGCTTGGAGAGTTGTTGTCTTATGGAGTTCAGATTTTACGGTAGTTAATCTGTTCTGCCATGTGTGCAGTATAGAGTCGATACTTGTGGTTACAATTTTATGGCCTGTAAATAATCATATTCAAAAGGGCTAATACTTGCAGTCTTTTAAAACAGGAAGGCCTACCAAGACTTACAGGTCGGAATGCAATGCTTTGTTGCATTATTTTGTCACCAATGAACATTGCTAAACGATACAATGAGAAATCCTCTGTAAAACTTTTTCCCTTTTTCGAATGTTCTTGTCTGGAGATTCAACACTTCTGAAGGGTTACTTTTGGATTATGGATGGCACCACTTGGACAACATTTGCAGAAGGCATTGTATTCTTCAACTCACATCGAACCGATGTGATCCACCTTGTTTCCTGGCTCGACGATTCTTCCCTCATCCAAGTAATGGTGTGTTTGGAGGACCTCGGTCCCTGTGAAGCTCTTCGGTTGAGAACTCTCAAATTAGTCTTCAGGGCTTAGTAGTTCCGTACATTTTTGCCTATGTTTTTTCTTTAGTACTTATATGCAGAAATCCATGCTGAAAAAATGGTCACAAGAGAAGAGAAGGAACACTTAATTATTCGTTCTTCATTAGTAACGTTTATATAGTTGTTGCAAATAAATTGTATTGAATTTGAAGTAATTTGGTGATATTGAAATCCATCAATATCAGATCAGGTAGGTTGAATTATGCTTGCTGATAATGCGAAATGTGGTTCCTTAATCCTCCAGTACCATATATTTCTAAATTTAGAGTGTGCATTGTGATATAGAAAGTTTGTTTGCTAATGCTGGTTGTCACTGCACTTGTATATTGTTATAATTATGTTCGTCCGTCATCTCGGAAATGGTTTAATAGTTGATGGATTTTAGGGTGTGGTGGAGTGTAGCAGGAGCCTTCTATTTTGTGGGAGCTACTACTCCGTTACTACTCCGTACCATATTTAGAGATGATGATGAATCAATTAAAAGACTAAACTTGGTGTTCAAGTAAAATTTGTGTGTCTGTATAATCAAATTTATTAGAATGGGCTATTGTGGCTACAACAGGCTGATCATTATGTTCTTGAAATTGTTTATTGTAGATATGTATGCACCTTAAACAGCATCTTGTTTGGTCCTCCTCCTCCTCTGTTACTTGTGGACAATCAATCCTCTATATTTCAAATACAAGTTATAATTTCTGATGTTGAGATCAAATAACTGTCGTTGATGATCGAGTCATTTCATGCTTTACCTTGTGTCGCGATCTGCACTGATGGAAGACAGGTTCTGAAGCCGAAACCTTCTCTCAATTTGCTCTGCTACGACAACAAAGCTGGGAGACTTCTTCTTGTCGACATGGGTATAATCTGAAACATTGTCCGATCACTCAGAGAATGTTTTGAGATGTTGTTTGTAGGACAAATTGAGTCAGGTGGTCTGATCATGAATCAATTTTGTTCCCAAAATATAATATGGTGGATAGGAGAGGAGATCGCGGTTCTCACTCTGCTTTTGCGTCTTCAATCCGATATGATGTAACTATTAATTAATAACATTGTGGCAAGAATTTTGAAGATTATAAATAATTTTGATTGATTTGGGATATACTTATTTGATTCGATTAATCGATTCAAATTGAATCAAATCAATTTTAATTTAAAAGGATATTAATTCGATTGACTTCGTTATTCTAAACCCTTAATTGGTTTAAACTAATTAATCAAATCGATCCAAAAGTCCAATTTTACAAATCAAGAATTAATTTAGCAAATTTTATTATATCTTCGATTCTATTGAATTGAATCATTTCATTTGAAATATTTATTTATTTTTAAATTATTTAAAATTATAAATTGATTAACTGAACTGAATTAATTGATTTTGAATCCGTAGATCCAAATCAACACCGATTTAGACAATTTTATTTTAATCAAATCGAATAAAAAAATAATTTGATTCAGAGGAAGAAAATATTTTATTTTCTTAAAAAAAAAAAGATATATATTTTTGTCACCACCATTTTCTATCAGAGGAAGAAGAGAATGGGGAAACACCTCATCATCCACACATGGTTTCCAATAGAAAACCCTGCATGTCAGGTTTAACCTAATTGAACACCACCTATATATGTATGGTTCAAAAATATTAACTAACTAAAATGACCTGCTTATGATCAAATTTCTGCCCTAAATCTTCTTCATCACCATCGTTCAATATTTGGACTCAGCTCGCCAAAGAAAATTCACATATATTTTCCTTCCCATCCTCTAATAGTGTTGGTGTCAACAACTTTATGCCGTGGCCTTGGGGCCGACACGGCTTGTTTCAGGTCCGAATAGTGGGGATCTTGTTCAAGGTCTCTCGGGGTTGCTGATGTGGGCGGTCGTGCAGATGGGATCACGTCGGGACTCATCGGGACGTCCCGTATGGAAGGGTCCCTCTCCTCGACGTTGGTGGGGAAGTAGCTCCGTCTTCGTACCTGCACACAGGTCGGGTCGAAGCTCGGCCCGACCCCTCCGACGATCAAGTCAGATGAAGTGAAGAGGTCTTTTTTGTGTGTGTTTCCTCCCCCCATTTTGCTCCTCTCGGGAGCGGGGTTTTTATAGGGTGACTTACTGTGTCTGTTGTGCCTGTTTTGCAGGGAGCAGGATCGTACTCCCGGCCACGTCTGACAACGGTGTTGGCGTGGCGTGAAGGATTAGGCCTGAGCAGGTCATTAATGCGCCTCGGTCGGCGTTCTAATCTATTTGACCAGGTGCTGTCGGGTCGATCGAGGCGTGAGGCGTCATCTGGGGCAGTTGACGTCAGCCCGAGTCTTATCGCCATTATTATCCTCATCATATTCGCCCCCGGAAAGAAGCTATGCGTCGGTCGTTGTAACGGGAGTCCGAAGCATGGCTTCAGCTTTCAGTATTTGTTCTTGTCGGGCGGTTGCTGGTCCCTTACCAGGGGCGCGGTCCAGATTTAGTAAATAAGGGAGGCTGGGTGTGCGGCGGTGGTCTCGGACAGCATGCAGCTTGAGGAGAACGTCTCAGGCGGGCAGGCCGCGCAGAGGAAGTGGTCTCGGGCGACATGCAGCCGAGGAGCACGACTTAGGCGGGCTGGCCGCGTAGAGGTTGTGG